GATGGATATGAAGGGTCTTCTACAACGACTTGAAGGAATTTGCATTTGTTGTATTTCTTCACCCATATTTGTAGGCTGAATATTGAGTGCATAACAAACTTCCTACAGTAACTCATAGGTACTTGCATTTGTTGCATTCCACCTGTCTTTGCTTGCATGATCAACATGAATTTGCACACCAGTTATCATCATTGGTATGAAATTTAACTGCCATTGATTTTGGATAATTCGCTTGCAGCCAAACTATACATTCCCTCTGATTTTTTTGCTTGCTGAATTTAATGCATCTGTTTGTAATAGATTCATAGTTCTTGCTTACATTTGAACTGCAAGGTATTACTATATCCATTTTGGTGAGTTGTAATCTCTTGTAGGTGGTAGAAACATTCGTTCTTCCTTATGTTATAATGGTCTGTATAAACGCTCTGACACTTTTTGCATGCTTCTTGTAAGTTTATTCAAGCCAATCAATTTGCATGAATCTTTATCATCATTTGTGAGTGGATGATACTAGAGATCATACGACCTTCATTACCTTTGAACACAACTTTTAGTCTACAAGGGACTTACATGTGGATGACAATTTCAACATACATTTTACATCAATTGTTTGACATTGTGTTCAACACGAGTCTCCTATTCATATGAATGGATGAGATCTTATAAATCAATTGATTCATGAGTCTCACATATATTCATTTACATCTTGATTTGAAATGATAATTTCAATATTCTATGTTCAAATGAAATTCCTTTTTTTTGTCATTCTTAAGATCCATTAATCTTATCTTGAATGTTGGATTTTAATTCCTTGCTAAATCTCATTCATGTCTAAGCTTTAAGTTATATTATTCAAGTTAAGTACGACTTTATTTGAGCTTTATGCATTGCTCTTTCGAGTTTGAGTCCATAAGTATTCATTTCAAGTTCGAGTTCGTGTCCACCATGGTACGAGTTCCTTGTGGTCCAACTCAAGTCTTTGCTTGAGTTTAAATTTCACAAGTGCAAGTTTGAGTCCAAGTCCAAATTGTGTTCTTTGGGTTCTTCTTGAGTTCAAACTCAAGTCAAGTTTAAAAAAATTTTGGCCAAATTTGATTTGAGTTCAATTTGTGTTCAAGTCAAATTAGAGTTTTTTTTTTAATTGTCATTTGAGTTCAAATCAAATTTCAAATCATTTAAATCTAACTTGAATTCAATGTGCAAGTTCATTTAAGCCTAAATTTTTTATGATTCATTTTCAAGTTCAAATTAAATCTTTGCATCGTTCATTTGTGTCCAAAGTATGTTCCATATGTTTGAACAAGCCCTCTATTTTTTTCCAAGTCTTGTCTTCGGTTCGTCGAAAATTTCGGCAGCCTCCCGGCGTCTCCCCTGTTTAGGAGAAAAACCAAGAGTCAACCTTTCCCTTGTCACTACTTGAGCGCTTCAAGTAGGTTTCAAATAACACCGTGGTTGTAAAATTTTTTTTTATCCCGGCCCGCTACATGAGCGTTTAAGGTTTTTTTTTTTTTTTTAAATTAAAAGAGCACAGTTTCTTTCCCTCCACACTACATGAGCGTTTGAAGACACTTACTATTTTTTTACTCCCCCTCGTGCTACATGAGCACTCCAGAGATTACCCGCCTCATTGTGAGCTCAGCGCCGGTTTCGCTCCCTACTACGCTACGTGAGCGCGTAGGGGGTTTGCCAGCTCGTTCCTAACATCAAGGAAGAATTTTTTTTTTAGGTTGTCACAAGCGCCACTCCGGTTTCCCTCGAGACACTTACTATTTTTTACTCCCCCTTGTGCTACATGAGCACTCTAGAGATTACCCGCCTCATTACGAGCACAGCGCCGATTTCCCTCCCTACTACGCTAAGTGAGCGCGTAGGGGGTTTGCCGGCTCGTTGCTAACATCGAGGAAGAATTTTTTTTTAGGTTGTCAAAAGCGCCACTCCGGTTTCTCTCCCTACTACGCTAATTGAGCGTATAGGGGGTTTGCAGACCCGTCGCAAGCCACGAGAGAAGGATTTTTGAGTTAAGAATTTTTATACCTTTGGAAGGATCGATGTCAACGACGAAGACAAAAATCTCTCCCCCTTTTTTTTTTTGCTTTCTTTCATTTTTTTCATTTTTTTTTATAAATATTCTTTTTTTTTTACACAAACTATATATAAACGGCCAACGTATATTACTTTAATATCTATAGTAATAAATCAATTAAACTATTAACTTAATAACTATGGACATCAACTACAGCACAAAACAGTAAAATTAAGAGAAATTAATTTAATAATCAAAGTAATAAATAGCAAGCGGAAATAATCTTAATGGTTTTAGCAGAAACAGCAATAAATAAGGACATGGAAAATCATGAGGGTCAATAAAGTAAGAGAATCTCACTATTCACTTTTTAACTTTTCTTTTGAAATCACGTGAAGAGGTATGGGATGATGGCAGCCTTTTGTTTTTGAATAAATCCAAAGGCTTGCTATTGGTAGTTGGAAGGGGCTCGGGTAGTGCAGGTGGTGGAGGCGGACAAGACGAGGTGCTGTATGGGTGATTTGGCGTGGGAAGATTTTTTTTTTTTTTTGGTGTCGAAGAAGATGAAGGTTTTGGAAAAGCTTTTGACGGAGAAGGTGAAGAAAATCTGAGCGTTCCAATATATATCCCCCCAAAGCTTTTTTTATTTCTTTTTGCTTCAACGAGGAGGCTGCTCCTCCGATCGAGACCCCCTGCAGGTTTCACAGGATTTTCGGGACTTAGACGAAAATTAAGCAGTGGAAATCCGGGGGTCAGAGTACTCACCGGAGGATTTCACCGGTATTTGCGGGATTTTTGCACAGAGGTGATCAATCTCCACTTTAATCTTTACTTAAATTGAGTTCAGCATGATGACATTTGACAAAATTCAATTAGTATTTGAATTTCTCAATTAGCAGAAGTTTGGACATTGCGTCGGATGGATTGACATAGATATGCTTTTCAGAACTTCAACATTACCATTGGTAATGACATTTCTAATAAAATGTGGCTTCACATCATATAACGTGACAGTATTCTGCCAAAGAAACTCAGTCCCTTTAATAAACCTTGTAATCATAAGTCTTCTTCAAAATTTTTTTAGCAACAAATAACCCGGCTTCAGTTGAAGACAAGGCAACATTATATTGTAGAGTATCTTTCCAGCTAACTATTCCACCAAATATTGGTGACAAGTAACCAAACAAGATCTTCGAGCATCTGAACAGATTTCAGAATTTGATTTTTTTTTTATTCAATACCAACATCTAAAGATCCTTTTATGTATCCCATGACAATTTTATAGCCTTCCAATGCCTTTTACCAAGATTAGACATGCATCGACTCACCACCCTGATAGGAAATGCCAAGTCTGGCAGAATCGAAACCGTTGCATATATTAAGCAACCTAATATTTTTTTATCGTCGAAACTTTTTTGTTGCTGTGTGAACACATTTTCTTTCGAATCATAAAAAAAATAGTAATAATGATGTTTTCACATCTATTTGATCTAATTTGAGATCAAATTTGGCTAGGATGAAAGTCATTACCTAATAGGTGTCTGTTTGACAACTGGAGATAAAATTTTGTTGAAGTCAACCTTTTTTTTTTGAAAAATCTTTGACAACTAATCTGATTCTGAATTTCCTTCTATTAGCATTGTAGGAGTCATCCTTCCTCTTAAATATAATTTCATAACGCAATGGTTTACTTACAATCTTTCATATATTTTTATACATATATATTTCATTGGAGACTTCATTTCTTCTCTCATGGCTTCATTCAATAAATTGCCTCTTTACTGTTAACAACTTCAGTATAAGAAGTATAGGAACTTGGTTCATTCGATTCTTTTATAACATGAGCAGATTCAATAATGTTGATATATCCAAATTTCTTTGGTGGCTTAATATCCCGTCTTTCTCTAAACGGCTCAACCTATATTTTTTCTTTCTTGAGAGGTGATGCTTGGCTGATCAATTTGAACCTATTTGAAGGCATAATCTTGTTCCACATCGCTCTGCTGCTCATTACTTTTGGATGTCTGCATTTAAATTTTAATTTCTCCATTTGATACCTCACCATATCTGCTAAATAATGAATATAACATCTTCATTCGAAAGTCATCCTCTCTAGATATAGCATCTCTCCTTGTAATGCATTTCTTCCTGCTCAGTTCAGTATACCATAACGGATATCCTTTGATTCAATGAGGATGTCTTAAGATAATGTACTTAACAGTTCTAGACATCAATTTCCTTTCTTGATGTGAGTAGATGTAGTGCATCCAAATTCCTTTAGATTGTTGTAATTTGGCTCGTGTCTAGTCCACATCTCATAGGTGTCTTAAAATTAATTGTTATAGAAGGGCATCTATTTACAATGTAACTTATTGTCTTCAAAACTCTTCTTCATATTTAGCTCTGATCGGTACACGCCAGGCTTTCTCAAGCAAGGCTTTTCCTCATTTTTTTGGGTGCTCCGTTTTATTGTGATGCATAAACAGTAGTTAAGTGGAGGTCAACAATTTTTTATCTATAAATATTATGCTTCTTTTTATAAATCTTTCCTTTATTATTTTAACTCTTTAACTATTATACTCATTAATGCATTATCGACTATTATACTCATTTAAATTATGAATTATTGACTACTATACTCATTTATATTATGAATTATTGACTATTATACTCATTTGTATTTTGTTATATCTGAAAATTGATTTCTTTTGAAAAGCTCATTTGAATATTATCATTTCTATTGCTAATTAACTATTAATCTCATTACCATTAGACATGCATATTTCACTGTCAAAAGTACCTTATAAGAAATTATTGTAAAATAGTAAAATTTTATTATGAAGCTTTTGTTTTGTGAATAAATTCAAAATTTACGGCCCTGTTTCCATCTACGACGCTTGGTCTATTGCCTAATAATCCCGAATTAGGCTTATGGTAATAGATTTTATTTTAGGTTGCACGAAGTTGACGATAATAAATCCCGAATTCCCCTCGATTAGTCCTTTGTCTTCGCGGCATCTTTAGATAACGCCTCACCGCCTCTCTAGACGTTAAGGATTCTCCCCAAATCGCCGCCTCCTCGATAACTGTAACGTTTCTTCTTCCTCACTCATCTCGATTTCTACTCTCCACCTCTTCGCAATCAATTGTTCGGAAGTCTTCTGGGCTTCTTCTCTCAGCCTCTTCGCAACCCTTTTAACTGTTCGGAAGATTGCCTCTTCAACTACCGTAACATTTCTTCTTCCTCTCTTCTCTAGGCTTCTCCTTTAAAGATGTTCGTAATGGTGCGAGTGAAGACGGTTCGAATGTCCACCAAAAATCTACTGTAAATTAAATGCAAAACGCTTGGAATCTTCCCCAGCATTCGACTGTAAGTTAAAAATTATTAATTGTAAACGTATTTTGCCCCCCCAAAAAAATAAATTGTAAACGTGGCTTTCAGTTTATAGTTAATGTTGATTCTAATTATAAATTTAATCGCATGTTTTTTGGGTTATCCCTAACGGCTCTCACATGTTCTTTTTTAATAAGCGCCGCACTGATTTCCAATTTGTTTTTTTTTTATTGAATGCATGTTTTTTATTCTTGTTGCTACAAAAAAAGGGTAATATTCTTATAGATTTCAAAAATTATTACAAATTTTTATTGATCTTATGTATGCTTTTTTTAACTCTGTTATGAATTTTTTCTTGAACTAAGTTTATCAATATTTGTTGCAGAAATGTCTCAAATTCCAATATGCCTCCACATCATTTCGTTATACATCTCCGCATCATTCCGAAGTAAGTTGAATCAAATTTATTTGCATTTTTCTCCAGCAAATTAGTATAATTTAAAATCTTTTATTTTTCATTTTATACTAGTACAAGGAGTAAATCAATAACCAATATTTGAGTAGCAAAATCTAATTTATAAAACAAATATGCAGTGCCTTATATAGCATCTGAAGGTATAGCTAATTTGCTTTTCATGCATTATTGTTTTTTAATTGTAAAGGTATAGCTCATATATAACAAAATACTCTAATATTATTTCATCTACAAGGCCCTCCCTCCTTATATCGATTCCTCAAATAATTAGATTTTTAATTGTTTAATTAAGTGATCGCTTATATATTAATTTTAAATATAGTTTTAATTATACATTTTATAAGACTTGCATGGATTCTAATATATTCCAGTAGAGGCAATTTTATATAGATCTTTTAATTTCATTTATCAATGATTATAAAGTTTTATATTGTAATTATTTTTTCATAAAATGTACTTGGTTTCCTACTCTTTGGCTGCATATTTTGGATTACTCAATTGTTAAATCTTTTTTTGACTTGTGAAGATTGTAAAATAAAATTGTCATCCTCTTGCATATCTATTTATCTTCTAATCCATTAGAGGCAATTGAAGAATGTGAAATATGATTGTCATCCTCTTGTATATGTATGTATCTTCTAATCCTATTAGAAGATAAATCTTCTATTATTTGATCTTCTAATTCATATTTTACTAATAACCTTATTTTTTAAAATAATGTAGTGTGGTATAATGAGAATAATACATGTTTTGAAAACACCTTAAATTTACCAGTCTAACTTATAAATTCTTCAGTGTCCTAAGAATAAATATCCATTTTGAATCAGTTGGTTCTCTAGTTATGACCAAGCACTGCCTACTCTTCTTGCATATGTACATGTTGCTGCTTAGAGAAGGCTTACAGGGTAAATATATCTGATACATTGCTGTTGGATCGTTGATCTTAAGACACGAATTCAGGTTAACCTCCTTCCCTGATTTTTATATAGGCATATAGTCAATTTTCTTTTTTTAATAATAGCTTAATTAAGTTATTTCTCTGATTCAATAAAATGATTTACATCCTTGATCACAAACTTCATTCAAAATCCTATTGAGTCCCTTAAAAAACATTTAAATTAATCTCTATATCGTTTTTGAAATTTTTTTGTAAGACCAATTAGCAATTAGTATATAATTTATTATGTAACATTCTAATTAGTACATTAAGTAGTTGCTATTTAAAACACTTTTTTGATTGATTAGGTTTCATTTGGGATTGCTTTCTTACTGCTTTCTAAAATAATTTTTTAGTACAAAGATTTCGTAAATTAGAAATTTTCATATTAGAAAGCGCTAAGAAAACTGTCCCAAATAAAACTTTAACCGATAAATTTTTATGACATTTATCAAAAATGGTATTTTGATCATACTTTTGCTTTGAGTTTTAAGGAAATGCTTTTTATTGTTGTAGAGCTGTGGAATATTTAATTGCTTTTTTATTTTTATTTATTCATGTTTGAGATAAATGGACGTGTAATTATAATACATGAATTTTCCTTGATTCATTATAATATCCTATCTTAATTCATTTTTTAAAATATTTAAAATACTAAAAGTGTGTGAGAATTAAAATCGAAAGTTAGGAGCATTTCAATCATAACATATTTTCCATTTGAAATTTTTTAATTTTTAAATTCATGATTTATTAAATGCTACCATTCAAGAATTTGGTAGATGTAAGATTTTTATATCTTACAAGTTTTATGACCTCAAATATATATTTAAAATCTTGTACAGTTGTTTAACAACATTAAATAGTTATGCAAAACAATTTTTAATTTCTATTATTCTTGAGATTGATTAAATCTGTATGAATAAAACTTACTAAATTCTAATTATAGGGAAATATCCCCTGAACAAAAATGACGAAATTCTTTACAACCTGTACAATAGTGCGATTCATAATAGCAATTTAAGTGCTAATAATATGTATTTTCAGAGCTAAAATGTAAGATTTAATCTAAGTCTTTTTTTAGTTGTAGCTGCTTATGTATCTATCATATTTGTTAACTATATTGAAGACTGGATATAAGAAACTTCATTACAATTTCATAGAATTATATCTCTGGAATTATCGGATTCCTCAAAATGCAAAAGATTTAATGAATTATTAGTTGTAAAATGTATGATGCATGGTTTATATAAAATATTAAATAAGAATAATTCTTGCATAAATAAATGATTGGGTAAAAATAATATCTTAAATCTTCTTCAATTTAAATAATAATTGATGAATATTTATATATAATTTATTGCAGAAGAAGTGACTGTTAACAAATAAAAGAAATATTCTAGATAATGATTAGATGGTTTATTATAATTCATATCCTTTATCTAAATATAATTGTTGAATAAATGTGATATATTTTAGTATTAAATGAGTGAAATATATTTACAAATATTTTTGTAAAATGTTTGATAAGATTTCAGTATCATTTATATAATAGAGTCAATATTAATTTTAATGAGATTCAATATTATCAAGATGAAAGATGAATATCTACATTAAAAAAATTATGAAAAATATTTGAATTTGATTTAGTTGAGATGTATTCATCAATATGTAATTTACAATTAAATTTAGAGGAAGAGCAAATAGTTTAGTACTAAGAAAATCAAAATTTTTCTTGACATATTAAGAATCAATATTAGAAAAAAGAATTATGCTGATAGAGTTTTCTGAACTCAATAATATGAATTTTGATGTAATAAAATATACTTATAAAGAAAATGCTAAAAAAATATGTATAAGATAATTCAAAAAAATAATAAATGGATCATATAAACACAACAAATCTATGAAATATATTTTTTAAGAATTTTACTGAATTATATATATGAACTTACACTATCCTGTAATTTGTTACAAGTACATGGTATACAATACTTAACATTTACAGATGCTGCAGAGAAACATGGATAGTTAATTATATATCCGATTGTTTAAATAATTTATCTATATATTAAATGTCATATAAATTCAAGCAATTATTTATTATTATTGTTATTTACTGTTGGTTAATTAATATTCTTTAATTGTGCTATTATAAAAATTTATCTCATGATTAACAAAAAAAATAATAAAGAGAATACTGATGATAAATTTATGTTAAAAATAATATTAGATATTAATTTATCTTTTGAAAGAACTGAAAAGTGCATTAATAATTTGGACCAACCAATATAGCTAAATATAGAAGAGGAAATTGATGAAAATAATGATGAGTGACATAATAGAGAAATAATTGCAAAGTTAAATGTTATTATTATGATTGAATATTGAAGTTTTATTCATTTCCTCAATATATATCGGGAGATCACATGTCTTGAAATTATTAATTTTGTTAGTAAAAAATATAATGACATATTCTTTATTGGAGATCATGGAGGTCTAGAAAAATATATTTGTGTTATGTTATACTTGCAATGTTAATAAATAATGGTTATAATATTAGTAATGATTATATCAGAAGTTAGTTGTATCAATCATGGTTGGAGGTTAAATAGTACAGTTGAAATCCAAATTGGTATTACAGGAGGTTTTACATTGACATAAAAAAGGGGGATCATTTGGAAAGTTTCATAAAGCAATTATGCACAAAGTATGAGCGATGGGAAAAGACCCGATTATAATCTAAATCTTTGCTCAATTTAATCAATACATGCTTAACATCAAGCAAAGTAATAGAAAAAGCACCAATGAGTTTGAGGTTAAAAAATTATGAATGGCATCGATGGATGGTCGGCGAGTAGAGAAAGAACCAATCAAGGAGAACTCGAACAACACCGCCAAAGCTAGAACCTTCTTCTCTGAAACCTACAGTGAAGGCAAACCATGGTGTGAAGTGGTTATAAGCTCGTGAAAAACCATAGAAGAAGAAGCCCTATAAAGGGCCTCAAGAAAATAGCGCCTCAAGAAAATAGCGAGAATAGGATTTACAATCTAGAAAACTAGGATCTTTCACGCGGTTTGCCCCCATTCCAACCGATGAGCAGCTGGAGGTGGCCAATCGCGAAGAAAAAGATGAAACCAAGAGAAAATACAAAGAGAAGCAAGGAGAAAGAAAGACACAATTAATCAACATGGTTGGAGGTGGCCAAATAATCATTACGGTTGGAGGTGGCCAAATAGCCTTGAATGTTGTTTTGCCCAACAATTGTAATGATCTATCTCCATCACGGTGAAATTTTCTAAAGATTACCCGGGCTTGTCGGCCAAGGCTATATATTGTTGAATACATCAGTGTATTGCGCGTGGGACCCAAAAAACATCTAAGGGCATTGCATTCCTGTTATTGCCTCAAACATCCGTGGTCGAAACGACTATAGTCCCTCTAAGAAGTTGACCACATAGGTTGAACTCCGCATAGCTAATTAGCAGGCTGAGCTCTCGTTCGTTAACGGAATTAACCAGACAAATCGCTCCACCAACTAAGAACGACCCTGCACCACACCCATAGAATTAAGAAAGAGCTATCAATTGTCTGCCAATCTTTATTATGTCTGGACCAGGTAAGTTTCCTCGTGTTGAGTCAAATTAAGCCGCAGGCTCCACTCCTGGTCGCGCCCTACCATCAATTCCTTTAAGTTTCAGCCTTGCGACCATACTCCCCTCGGTAATCAGAGAAGGAAACCGCCATGGGCGGAGAAGCCCCCCAGTGCCCCGGACCTCGCACCAGATATCAATTATTTGAAAAAGGAGCCAGCCAAGGTAGGGGGCCATTAAACACCCGAGGGGACAGAGTCCCCGCTCGAATCTCTTCCGCGGCTGAGTTTCCGCTTACGCGGCCCCCCAGAGGGGCCAGGCGCCGCAGACTTAGCAGGAGCTGCAGAAGGCGCATCCATAACCGGAGAGGCCGGATGCTGAGCAGAGCCAGCAAACGGGGGTGAAGAAGAAACCTGTCCCACGCGGAGGGGACGGGAGGGCCGCAGAGACACCTTCTTGGCACGTTTCCGCCGTACCAGGTTCCAAGCACCAAGCTCGGTTGACGGTGGAGCACCCAAGGGAGGAGGAGGGGAGGCTCCCGAGAGCAAACGCCGCGGAACCTCCCCACAAGACGGTAGAGACAGAGGGCCACCCTGTCGTGACGAGGAGGGATCGGCTCCCGGGTTCGGGTGGGCAACAGCGCCAGGCTGGATCGGGCGGGACGCAAGCAGCGAAGGAACAACAGAGGGCCCAGCAAGGGCTACACCCGTCACCATAGGAGGGTGAGACGACGACGGTACTGAAACCGGCTCTCCAGTGCACACCGGCGCAGGCGCAGGGAACGTCGATGAAGCAGGGATGGTCGAGGCCGCCGGGCAGGCCGCCGACTGGTGGTCCACCAAACCACACCGAAAGCAGAGGGTAGAGAGGCCCTCATACTCCAACGGTTGAAAAAACCGGCCATAGAGGCCCTGGATCCAGATTCCAGGTCGCAAAGGTCGGGAGAGATCTAACCGAACACAAATACGCGCAAAGGAGGATTTCTCCCAGGTGCTCGTATGAGCATCCATCCAAAGAGGCTCCCCGAGAATGCAGGCCATTCTCGTCAAGTTCTCGTGGTCCCAATACAGAAGAGGGAGACGAGGAAGCCGCACCCAGAC